GAAATGGTACCAGTGCAGGGAAACAGAGAGGACCAATGAAACCCATTCTAAAGCCTGCAGTGTCATGACTATACACTAATATGCGCTTAAGTGGACAATGTGACATGCAGGAATTGGGTTTGCAGACTGTGTACGAAATATATCAAGTGGTATACGGTATCTCAACCATTCCAATCGTATTCAGCTTTCGGGGCTTCACACATTCGCGATTCCAACCGCCAATTCCCAGACGCCAAATATATTCCAGTTCCGGCACCTGCGAGTCCCATAACCCCACCGAACCCCGCAACTGGCATGCCAGCCCTCCCACCACCAGTGTGGTGGAGTGTTTGTTTGTTCTTATTGCTATTAAACTGCAGTATTAATAATGTAAAACCCATTTCAGTAACTGCATATTGGAATGGTTATTCCGACAGGTATTAGATCGGTGACTGTGTTTACTCTTGAACACAGCAAAGAATCAAAATTTCTTGCTCTGCTAATTATTACAATAGTAATAATATGAATATAAATAATAAAAATACGATATAATTGAGAAGGAAGTTGTACAGAAATACGAGGGAAGTGTGTTGACACATGTCAGTGTGGCTTTGTTTATGCTGAGTGAGCATTAGTCTCCCTGCTCTTCTAAAAATTTCACAATAATTCATTGTGTTTGGTACTTGTAGACTGAGTGTGACTGGAGTGGTAGGAGGCATGGTTGAGGCAGCTGTTGAGGCAGCCTGTTGAGGCAGCGATTGAGGCAAGCTTGTTGAGGCAGTGGATGTGGCAGTGGGTGAGGCAGCGATTTAGGCAGTGGGTGAGGCAGCTGTTGAGGCAGCGATTGAGGCAGTGGTTGAGGCAGCTATGAGGCAGTGGGTGAGGCAGCGATTTGAGGCAGTGGGTGAGGCAGCTGTTGAGGCAGCTGTTGAGGCAGTGCATGAGGCAGTACATGAGGCAGCTGTTGAGGCAGGCGATGAGGCAGCTGTTGAGGCAGCGATTGAGGCAGCGGCGATTGAGGTAGCTGTTGAGGCAGCGATTGAGGCAGCTGTTGAGGCAGCAATTGAGGCAGCGATTGAGGGCAGTGGTGCACGTGAGGCAGCTGTTGAGGCAGCGATTGAGGCAGTGGGTGAGGCAGCTGTTGAGGGGGAGAGTGATTGAGGCAGCTGTTGAGGCAGCTGTTGAGGCAGCGATTGAGGCAACTGTTGAAGCAGCGACTGAGGCAGTGGGTGAGGCAGCTGGTGAGGAAGCGATTGAGGCAGTGGTATTTAATAACATACATGTTATTAATAATAATAATACATGTTATTAATATGTACTATTATTATTTATAACATATATGTTATTAAATACCACTGCCTCAACCGCTGAATTATTGTGAAATGTTTGGAAGAGCAGGGAGACTAATGCTCACTCCAGCATAAACAAAGCCACACTGACGATGTGTCAACCACTCCCTCGTATTTTTGTACAATTTCCTTCTTCAGTTATATCGTATTATTATTATTATATTATTATTATTATTATTATTATTATTATTATTATTATTATTATTATTATTAATATTGTTATTATTAGCAGTAGCAGAAATGTTTGATTTTTTGCTGTGTTCAAGACTGAACACATGATGTCACCGTCCAATACCTGTCCGAATAGCCATTCCAATATGCAGTCATGAATGGGTTTACATTATTTATACTGTAGTTTAATAGCAAATAATGAACAAACAAAACACTCACCACACTGAGTGGTGGAAGGGCTGGCTGCCAGTTGCGGGGGTCGGAGGGAGGGTAGTAGGGTCTCGCAGTGGTTGGGGAAGTGGTGGAGGCATTGGTGGAGTCTGTGGTATTTAATAACATACATGTTATTAAAGCATAACATGTATATATTTAGTACAATTTACGACGTTTTCATGTATTTTATGATTGTTCATGGTTCAACAAGTTAAGGAAGCAGTACTGTATTATATTTCCCTACAATATATTGGGGCACCAAACATTCACGGTTTTTCAACATTCGCGAGGCTCTTGATCCCCTAACCCTCGCGAATGTTGAGGGAGACCTGTATAAAACTTTTTGTCCATCTTGTTGATATCTCTATGCTAAATGCTTATAACATATACAAGTTGAAGACCAACAAAACACCAAAATATGGTGAATTTTGCCTGTCATTAATCAGACAAATAATTGCAAAGTACCAAGGAGCAACTCCTGCAATAGACCAGCCCCCACAGACGTCATCTCGTTTGAGGCCTGGTGATCACTTCCCCATACAACTGCCTCCTACTACTGCCAAGAAAAATGCTCAGAAGAGGTGTTATGTATGTATGCATACCACAAAACGCCCACAAACACGCAGAGACACTCGTTTTATGTGTGAGGAGTGTGAAGTGCCCCTCTGCATATACCCATGTTTCAAAGAGTTCCACAAGCTGCAGCAGTTCTAGGAACGTGTTTAGTGACTGTACATATGTATATATATTATGGAACAATAGTAATAAACATTGTTTTGTATTTTTTTTTGTGTAAACAAAGTGTATACACAAACTAATAGTGATAAAGTTTGTTCTGTTATTGTGTTGTAAACAATGAGTGTATATTTGAAGAATGCACCTTACATTGGTCTCACAGGCCACATAAGTTACCTGGAACAGAAAAATATTGAAAAATGCAAGAAACCTTTGAATTAGAGTAAATAAAAGAATACCGGGTGGGCGGCGGTCGCCGCTGTTGCCGTACGCACGTCACTTTCTGCAAACTTTGCGGCTCTATATCTCGGTAAGTACTGATGGCAAAAATTTTTTTTTAGGCTTAAAACAATACTAAAAATATTCCTAACATTTTCATAAGAAAAAATAATTTTTTTTTTTCGAATATTTGGCGATATAGAATGACAATTTCAGAGAGGGGCCTGAAACAGTCAAAGGGTTAATCTTGTCCCCCAGGATGCGACCCACACCAGTCGACTAACACCCAGGTGAACGGGAAAAAATGCCTGGAACTAGTGCTCATATTGGTGAATTTAAGGCCAGCAAAGGTTGGTTTGAGAGATTTAAGAATCGTAGTGGCATGCACAGTGTGATAAGGCCTGTTCTGGAAGAAAATGCCAAACAGGATCTACATTACTCAAGAGGAAAAGGCACTCCCAGGACACAAACAGCGTCTCATCACTCATCACCACATCTTCAATAAAGGTAAGTGTCATTTATTCTTCATTTAGTACACTAGTACATGCACAATATATATTGGGCACGTATCCTTCGTTTTGTGTGTAGGAAAATGTATATTTCATGTGGTAAAAAAACTTTCTTCATACTTTTGGGTGTCTTAAATGGATTAATTTGATTTACATTTTTTCTTATGGGGAAAATTAATTCGACTTACGATAATTTTGTCTTACGATTCTTGTTGGCGTATTGAAGAAGGCAAGGAGGGGAGAGGGAGTTGAGGTGATTGCTTGGAAGGGGAATCCCCCTCCATAAGGACTTTAGGTGTCAAAGCCCTCTCTGGGGTTACTTCCCTTCTTTGTCTTTTACTGGCTCTAGGACCAGCTTGAGTCACTGCACCCGTCATACAAAAAATCTGTCGAGATTTGCCTAAAATGGGACAAGACATTGTCATTGAACATGTTGCAGACACCTTGCAACAGTTTTGTTAGGGTTAAAATTCTTCGCAAAACTTTGTAACTCACTTCATTTTGCACACACCCTTAATCACTGAAGAAGGCACATTCTCCCCCCTCTCTTCCTCCTCCTTCGAGGCAATATCCTCAGCTGCGGTCTGTTGCTGTTCCAGTTGAAAGTCTTGCAGCTCTTCAGTGGTTAGCTCTCTTCTCCACATCCTCGATTGTTTGTGATCTCTGTTTCATTAGCTTATTTACCCCTTTCGCAACATCAGCTTCCTTGATTTCTGTTTTCTTCGCCAGGATGGAACTGACTGTTGATGTCAACTTCCCATACATCCTGGCAAGCTTGGTCACACGTGTGCCACTTTCATATTTTGCTACAAGTTCTTTCTTGAATTCTGTTGTGTTTCTCACCTTCTTTACCAAAGGGCTGGCACTCTGAACTTTGTTTGGCCCCATGGTGGCTTATTTCACAATCGCAACCAATAAACAAGCACAAAAAGCAATGGATGAATGTGCAAAGTATTGCTAACTCAGTGAGAGACAGACAGACTGAGTGCGGTACATGTGAGAAGCGGCATCCCAGGCAGGTGGACATGTCTGATACCGATGATTTCCGAGCAGATGTACGAAACTTGGGGGAAATTTCACCGAAAAAAGTGCTCAAAATCCTAATTGTATGATTTCGGCACTGGTCAAAAACCGGGGGTCCACTGTATATGTATTTTATCGCTCTGGGATGCTTTAATTAAATGTCGGAGTATATTATGTGTGGGTGGGATGGGGTGGGCTGCGCTGGCTGGCTACCATACCTCCCAAACCTGACTTCCTACAAATAAAACTCCTACAACTATTTTAAGGTAAGTAATGGATGTACTGTATGTGTAGTTTACTTTTTATTGTTTTTAATGCCTAGTTCTATTTTTAACTTAATATATGTTAGTGTAAACTTCTTGTTATCTGGCATTTATATGTATTTATAAGTGGAAAAAATGGCATTCTGCTTTCTGGCGATGTCTGCTTTCTGGCTGTAGCCTGGAAACTAACCTGCCGTATAAGTGGGGCCCTACTGTAGTATATTATTGTTCCATTCATGTGGAATTCTGAAGCTGTAAGGGGTCATATTGTGCCTGGGAAACTGGAGGCAGATTCAATGCAAGGAAAAGGAGGATACCTCAGATGCCTTGGATCAAGGAATTTGAGGTATCAAGTCACCTATTGAAGTGCCAGTAAAACAAAGCATCAAAGGTATACTGTAGATAAAAGGCATGAAGTACTGAGTATATGAAGTACTGTACTGTAATAGAGTTCATCAATTTTATCATTAGTATGAGAATAACATTTAAGATTCTGTCACCTTATTTAATTTTTCTACTTCTGGTATAATTTACCACAGTGTGTGCCTAAGGAGCAGCAGATCCAGACACAGCAACATACACAGCATGAAGTTGCAGGAGAATCGCAGCATGACCCTGAACACTATTTTCATACATCTCTCTTACTGAACCAGCAGGAATTTACCGTAGAAGAAAGTGACCAGAGAGTTGTTGTCATTAGTAATGTTGGTGAAGAGCAGATTGTTGTTGTTGAAGAAGGACAGATGGTAAGTGATAATGGAAAAAATGAAGAAAACATGGTAAGTTGTACTGGAGAAGGGGTGAAAGGGGAATGTTAAGATGATAAAGAATTAATTCAGTACAAACAGGAGTTATGATAAGCAACAGGGAGAATGTAAATAAAATTTATTTTAAAAAATTATACTTTACCACAGCACAGCACAACTGTGCAAATGGGAGAGGGAGCCAGGGAAGGATTATTATATTCATGGGGAAACACTAAACCCATAAGGGTCAGAGTACCTGGAGATTAGGAGGGAATCAAGTTTTATCCAAGGGAGAATAGCTCAGGAGGGAATCAAGTTTTATCCAAGGGAGAATAGCTCCAGTTCCTTAGATCTAGAGTCCTTCACCAGCATTAAGGCACTTCCATTGAAGGAGCAACTGGGTAAGTGATGATGGAATCATTGATGATAGTGTCTAGTGATGGTAAGGCTTTAATTAATTCTAAGTAACTTCACAGGTATTGATGGATGAAGAGAGATTTGTTATAATACATGAAGATATTGAAGAACAGCCCAGCAAGCTTGCCACATTTTTACCCAAAGTCTAACTTAAAATACAAAGAAATTGTACAGTAAACTAATAAAGTTTATTTTTTATGAACTTTTATATATCAGTGTTTTCATATTGTTACTATGTTTTACTGCTGTCTTGTTTATTATTCCATATATCCCTAGTTCTCTATGGGGAAGTGAAGAATTCTTCCTCCGTAAGCCATGCGTGTCATAAGAGGTGACTAAAATGCCAGGAGCAAGGGGCTAGTAATCTCTTCTCCTGTATAAATTATTAAATTTATAAAGAAAAACTTTTGTTTTTCATTTTAGGTCACCCTGCCTCTGTGGGATACAGCCAGTTCATTGAAAAAAATAACATCCCTTGTCTTAGTTTATCCTGCCCATAATTTTTAATTGACTACTCTGCCCATAATTTTTAATTGACTACAGTGGAACCTTGGTTGTCAAACAGATTAGTTGTTGAACAAATCGATTTTCGAACCGATTTGGTTTTCTTACATGGTCTTGGTTGTCGACTGGCAATGCTCAGATCACGTAATCACCAGAGTCTACAGTGTGGGTCTCAGTATAGTGACTAAAGCGAATGCTGTAAACTTCTCTTGAGCTCTTGCTGTGCAACTTGTGTAGGTAATGAAAGCAAAAGTATGAAATTTGAGAAAACTTACGGAATTACACTTGTGAAGTTAGTGGTCTCTGCGATATTTACGCATCGGCAATTTTGCCCACTTTGAGCAAATTCCATTGTTCCAGTCAACCAAACTCATAGCTATTTCATTAGAACTCCTTTTATTCTATCGATTGAGTACAAGAAACTGCCCATTTATCTGTTTCAACTACCCAGTAAAGTGGTCTGAAATTACTAATTTGGCCAATTTCACAAAATTCAAGAAAAGCCAATTTCAAAATAGGGTCCAGCATAAACATTGCAGACATTCCTGGCACTAAAATAACATTTTATCTGTTCATAAGTCACAACTCCAGGACCTTCTTATATTATGCTTGCTTTTCATTTTTAATTTTTATTCACACACAGAAGATTTACTGTTATTCAGACTACTGCATAATTGTAATAATTGTATAAATAATATCACCGCATTTGTGAATGCATATTAGACCCACCAGTTGACATGTATTGGATGCGTGACATGATTTGTTTACTCTTAAACATCAGCAAAAATCAAACATTTCTGCTACTTTGAGCTCAATTTCAAGCTACTTTTAGTCTTTAAACCATTGAAAATCATCTCTAGTTCTGTAATATATCTTCCATGCTATGAAATGAGACCAAGAAAATGCAAATACAACCATAAATACCATACAAAAATATACCAGAAATTCGCTGTTATAAACCAAAAACATGGTCGCAGATTTTTTCTCATGCACTGTGTGATGCAGGATTTTATTTTTTTTATTTATTTTACTTATTTATTTATTTATTTATTATTAATTTGGACATGATACATAGATGTACAGTGGACCCCCGCATACCGTTGGCCTTACATAACGTTAAATCCGCATACCGCTACATTTTATCGCGAAGATTTTGCCTCGCATACCGCTAAAAAACCCGCTCAACGCTGTTCGTCTGAGACGCGTCTATGTGTGGCCTGAGCCACGCTCACATGTTCCGCCGGTGGCATTGTTTACCAGCCAGCCTCCGCGGTAACATCCAAGCATACAATCGGAACATTTCGTATTATTACAGTGTTTTTGGTGATTTTATCTGCAAAATAAGTGACCATGGGCCCCAAGAAAGCTTCTAGTGCCAACCCTACAGCAATAAGGGTGAGAATTACTATAGAGATGAAGAAAAAGATCATTGATAAGTATGAAAGTGGAGTGCGTGTCTCCGAGCTGGCCAGGTTGTATAATTAAACCCCAATCAACCATCGCTACTATTGGTGGTACAGCTGCTGCTGCTGCTGTACCACTGTCAGCTGCTGCTGCTGCTGCTGTAGCACCGTCAGCTGCTGCTGCTGCTATACCACCGTCAGCTGCTGCTGCTGCTGTAGTACCGTCTGCTGCTGCTGTAGCATCATCTGCTGCTGCTGTAGCATCGTCTGCTGCTGCTGTAGCACTGTCAGCTGCTGCTGCTGTTGTACCACCGTCAGCTGCTGCTGCTGCTGTAGTACCGTCTGCTGCTGCTGTAGCATCGTCTGCTGCTGCTGTAGCATCGTCTGCTGCTGCTGTAGCACTGTCAGCTGTTGCTGCTGCTGCTGTAGCACCGTTGTTGGTGTGGCTTATTGAGAATACCAAGAAACAATTAACCCCAGAGGATTTGCCACCCAGGATAACCCAAAAAAGTCAGTGTCATCGAAGACTGTCTAACTTATTTCCATTGGGGTCCTTAATCTTGTCTCCCAGGATGCAACCCACACCAGTCGACTAACACCCAGGTGAACAGGGAAAAATGCCTGGAACTAGTGCTCATATTGGTGAATTTAAAGCCAGCAAAGGTTGGTTTGAGAGATTTAAGAATTGTAGTGGCATACACAGTGTGATAAGGCCTGTTCTGGAAGAAAATGCCAAACAGGACCTACAGTACTCAGGAGGAAAAGGCACTCCCAGGACACAGTGTCTCATCAGTCATTGCTGCATCTTCAATTTATTTTATTTATTTATTTATTTATTAACAATTTGAGCATACATACAGAGGTACAAAAAAATACAGATAAGAGCAGCATGCCAAAGCGACTTATACTATGCATAGCATTACGGGCTGGCTTAAAATTAACTAAGCAATGATGAAATCAGTGATAATACATTATTGTAAACAGATAACTATAAAGCACAAATGAGTATTACAAAGACAGGTCATATGGTTGCATGCATTGTTGTACATTCAGTCGTATGGAGTATTCTGTTAGGTAGTGTATTTAAAAAATAATATAGTTAGATTGGGTTTTAGGTTTAACATTTATGTGATATAATTGTCAGAAACATTTAAGATATACAATTTATAAGGTTCAGTTATTCAGTATTTATTTGGTTTTGGGTGAATAAGTGATCTTTGAGAAGAGACTTGAATTTAATAAACAGTAGTGTTTCTTTTATATTTACAGGTAATGAATTCCAGATTTTAGGGCCTTTTATGTGCATTGAGTTTTTTGCATAGTGTGAGATGGACACGAGGAACATCAAAGAGTGATCTGTGCCTTGTGTTATGGTCATGTGTTCTGTTGAGGTTGGCAAGGAATGTTTGAGGGGAGGGTTAATATCAGAGTTAAGTGTTCTATGTATGTAATAGTGCAGTAATAAGTATGGATGTTTTGTATGGTGAGTAGGTTTAGTGTATTGAATATTGGTGGAGTGTGCTGCCTGTAGTGAGAATTTGTTATCATTCTAACTGCAGCCTTTTGTTGGGTAATTAGTGATCTGAGATGGTTAATTGTTGTTGAGCCCCATGCACAAATTCCATAGGTGAGATAGGGGTAAATAAGAGAGTGATATAGGGCCAGGAGGGCTGACTGTGGAACATAGTACCGTATCTTCGATAGTATGCCTACAGTCTTGAAATTTCTTAGAAATTTGTTGTATATGTGTATGAAATTTGAGTCTATTATCAAGGTGGATTCCTAAGAATTTTCCCTCTGTTAGCTTTGTGATAGGTGATCCGTTTATCATTATGTTAAGAGGGACATCTGTAGCTCTGTTACCAAACTGAATGAAGTAGGTTTTGTCAATGTTTAGTGTAAGTTTGTTAGTCCCTCGTCCAGGTAGATATTTTCTGTAATTCGTATTTACAGTATTGGCTAGCGTGACTGGGCTCGGGTGAGAGAAGACGTATGTAGTGTCATCTGCAAATAGTGTGGGTTTGAGTAATTGCGAAGCATTTGGAAGGTCATTTATGTATAGGAGAAAGAGAAGAGGGCCAAGGACACTTCCCTGTGGGACACCAACTGTAATTGTTTGCGCAGAAGAGTTTGCCCCATTTGCGTACACATATTGGCTTCTGTTGCTGAGGTATGACTTGAGGTAGTTGAGGGAGTGCCCTCTTATACCATAGTGTGACAATTTTACGTGGAGCAAGTCATGGTCAACTGTATCAAAAGCTTTACGTAAGTCAATGAAGATCCCCAGTGGGACTTCTTTTTTCTCTATTGCAGTGTATATATGTTCTAGCATGTGTAATAATAGCATCATTAGTATTTTTATTAGGCCTGAATCCAAATTGGCAGGGGTTGAGTAGTTTTGGGAGAATAAGGTAGGAGTAGATTCGTTTATGAATTAATTTTTCGAAGATTTTGAGAGAGGGTGTAAGTTGGATATTGGCCTATAGTTATTCAACTCTGTTTGGTCTCCTCCTTTGTGGATCGGGGTGACCCTTGCTATTTTGAGTACTGTAGGGAAGGTGAGGATTCAATGGATTTGGTTAAAGAGTGTTGCAATGATTGGTGATAGCACTTGTGACACTTTTTTGTATATAAAGGTGGTAAGGTATTTAAATCTCCTGCCTTGTTTTTTAGTGCGTTGATAATAAGGGAGACTTCATATGGGTTAGTCGGAGCTAGGAACAGTGTGTTCGGGTAGTTGCCGGTGAGGTAGTCATTTGGTGGGGTATCTGAGCTTGGGATTTTATTGCAAGGTTTTGTCCTATAGTGGAGAAGAAATCATTGAGTCTGTTTGCTGTTTCTGTTGGTGGGAGTTGGGGTTCATCTGATTTTGCTAATTTTATTCGCTATTTCGTGATATCTTTTTTGTTCCCAGAATTCTGATAGGTTTTCCAGGTCTTTTTTATATCACCTCGTAAGTTGGATAATCTGTTCTCATAATACAATTTTTTTGCCCTTCTTATCAGGCTGGTTAGGATTGACGAGTAACGTTTTGTTTGGTCTCTGGTTATGTGACCCATTCTGTACTGTTTTTCATATTGATGTTTTGTATTTATGGATTTGAGAATGCTGGTGTTTAGCCAGGGACTGTTCAGTCTCTTAGCTGTCATCTGTTAGTTTTTTTAGGGCAGTGCTTGTTATAGAGGTATTGGGTCTTTTTTAGAAAATTATTAATACATTCGTCAATATCTGTATAGATTTCTAGCTCAGTGTGCCAATCAATGTTTGCTACTGCTGTTGTGAAGTTATTAATGGC